AGGGTCCTGGGCCGGGCAGGGGCTGATCCCACCCTCATCCCATCCCCATTCCCATCCCCATCCCACGCTCCCATGGTGTTGGAGTGGGTGGGAGTTGGATGCCGGGGGAGGGGGAAGGAGGGGGCTGTGCTACGGGTCCCGTCCACCCATCTACGTGTCCGCCTGTCCCCCGCAGGTTCGCAGATCGATGATCACGTCCCCAAGCGCGCCTCGGCCCGGATCCTCGCCCCCCCCGGAGGGCGATCAAGCGGCATTTGGTAACGCCGAGGTGCTGCTCCCCAAGTGAGGATGCAGGCAGCCCTCGGGCGGGGCCCCCCCGAGCCCCGCGCCCCCGGCTCAGCTGAGACGTGGCCCCTCCCGAGGGGTGCCCCGGTGGATGGGGGCGACCCCCTGGAGCTGTGCTGTAGGGCCGTGGGTCTGAGCCCCAGCGATGGGGCCGGGGCTGGGGGGGTGCGGCGGGGGGGGGCAGGAGGAAGCTCCCCCCCTACCTCCCCCCCTCCCCCCCCCGTCTCTTTTCTGTTTGCACGTCGGGTTTGGATCAGTGAGCGTTTTTTTGCCTCCTTTGTGCATCGCGTGGAAATGCCCCCAATAATGGTTCGTGTCGATAGCGGGAGGGGACACACCGCAGGGACCCCCCCCCACCTCCTCCCAGCCTTTCCCCCCCCACACACACACACCATGGTGCTATGGGGCCGCCCCTGCCCCCGTCCCCCCCCGGGGTAGTGTGAGATGTGAAATGTGGCTTCGTGCACTTTGTCCCCGTAGATGTCCCCGTAGGCGAGGGGGGGCCGCTCCCGTCGCGCATTAAAACTGTTCTCACCGCAGCGCTGTCTGATGGGGGGGGGGGGGCGGAGGGGCGGCACCGACGCAGCACTGCAATGCCACCGTCAGCATGTGGGGGCGGAGGGCATGGGGACACGAATGGGGACATGGCATGGAGATACAGGGATGTGGGGATATGGAGATAAGGGGGCGAAAATAAGGACATGGGGACATGGGAGTGTGTGGACATGGGGACACAAATGGGGACATGGCATGGGGACACAGGGAGGTGGGACATGAGGACTCAGAAATGAGGACATGGGGACATGGGAATGTGGGGACATGGTGACACAAATGGGGACATAGCATGGGGGCACAGGGAGGTGGAACATGAGGACTCAGAAATGAGGACATGGAGACATGGAGATGGGGACACTGGGATGTGAAGACACAAAGGCACAAGGATGTGGGGATGTAGGGACACAGAACTGGGGAACATGGGGACACAAATGGGAACGTGACATGGGGACAATGGAGACAGGGATGAGGACATGGGGAGGTGGGGACACAGGGAAGTGGGGACATGGGGTCGTAGAAATGGAGACATAGGGACATGAGGACGTGGAGATGGGGACATGGGACTCGTCCCAGAAAGGGTCACATCACTCCCAGAAAGTGAGCAAGGAGGACCCAAGGAATACAGGCTGGTGAGTCTCACCTCTGTGCCTGGGAAGATCATGGAACAGATCCTCCTGGATGACATGCTTGATCACATGAGGAATGGGCATGTGATCCGTGACAGTCAGCATGGCTTCACCAGGGGAAGGTGATGCTTGACCAATCTGGTGGCCTTCTATGATGGAGTGACGGCATCGGTGGACAAGGGAAAGGCAACCGATGTCATTTACCTCCATTTGAGCAAGACCTTTGACATGGTCCCCCTCCACATCCTTATCTCCAAATTGGAGGGATGTGGATTTGATGGGTGGACCACTCGATGGATAAGAAACTGGTTGAAAGGCCGCAGACAGAGGGTGGTTATCAATGGCGCCATGTCCAGGTGGAGGCCGTAATGAGCGGCGTCCCCCAGGGGTCTGTGTTGGGACCGGTGCTATCTAACATCTTTATCAATGACCACTGAATCGAGAGCACCCTCAGCAAGTTTGGAAGGGATGCCATGCAGAGGGAGCTCAAGAGGCTGGAAAGGTGGACCAGGGTGAACCTGGTGAGGTTCAACACAAAGTGCAAGGTTTTGCACTTGGGCAGAGGAATCCCAGGCATCCCTACAGACTGGAAGGAGCGGTCCTTGAGAGCAGCCCTGCAGAGAAGGACCTGGGGGTCCTGATGGATGAAAAGCTGAACATGAGCCAGCAGTGTGCTCTTGCAGCTCAGAAAGCAAACGGAATCCTGGGCTCCATCAGAAGAGGGGTGGCCAGCAGGGACAGGGAGGTGATTGTCCCCATCTACTCTGCTCTTGTGAGGCCCCATCTGGAGTACTGTGTCCAGGTTTGGAGCCCCCAGTACAAGAAAGACAGGGAGCTGTTGGAGAGGGTGCAGAGGAGCCACAAAGATGATGAGGGGACTGGAGCACCTCCCCTACAAAGACAGGCTGAGGGAGCTGGGCTTGTTCAGCCTGGAGAAAAGAAGGCTGCGGGGTGACCTCACGGCAGCCTTTCAGTACCTAAAGGGAGCCTACAAACAGGAGGGGAATCAACTCTTTGAAAGGGCAGATAACAGCAGGACAAGGGGAAATGGTTTGAAGTTGAGGGAGGGAAGATTGAGGTTGGATGTCAGGGGAAGTTCTTTACAGAGAGAGTGGTGAGGTGCTGGAACAGCTGCCCAGAGAGGCTGTGGATGCCCCGTCCATCCCTGGAGGTGTTCAAGGCCAGGTTGGATGGGGCCCTGGGCAGCCTGGGCTGCTATGAAATGTGGAGGTTGGTGGCCCTGCGTGTGGCAGGGGGTTGGAACTTCATGATCCTTGAGGTCCCTTCCAACCCTGGCCATTCTGTGATTCTGTGAGATGGGGACATGGAGATGTGGGGACACAGGGAAGTGGGGACACGGGGATATGGGAGTGTGGAGACACAGGGACATGGGGACATGAAAATACGGGGATATGGGGACGTGAGGACAAAGGGACACAAAGATGGGGACATGGTGTTGTGGGGACGCACACATGTGGGACCCCCATAAGAACATGGGGATACGAGGGCACAGAGAGATGGGGATAAAGGAACACGGGGGTGCGGGGAGCCGGGCCTTGAGGACGGGGACGAGGGGACGCGGGGAGGTACCCGCACCGCCCCCCGGCGGATCCTCGGAGGCTCCCACAGTCCTCCACCACAGCCGGCCGCCAGGGGGCGCCATGCCGGAAGCGGCGACGGAGGTAAGTGGGCGGTCCCTCCGCCCGTTGCCGTGACGACGCGGGGCGCGGTCAGCGTGGCTCCACCCCGCAGCGGGGAAAGCGACGGCAGCGCATGCGCAGTGCCCGCCCGGTGCCGGCCCGGACCCCAGAGCGCTGCGGGCGGCGGAGAGCGGCGGGGGCTGCCCGAGCGGTGAGCGGGGAGCGGGAGGGGAGGGGAGGGGGAGCGGGGCGGGGGGAATGGGAGACGGCGCGGCGACGGGGAGCGAGGAGGGGGCCGGCACGGCTTCGTCCGGGGATGACAGGGAGGGGACGGGGGGTCCGAATGGCCCTCCGGGATGGAGCGGCCCTGCGGGCGGGGGGGGCGGCCGTTGTGGAGCTGCCGGACGGCGGCGGCACAGGGCTGGCATAGCGGTGGCACGGCGCGTCCCGCATCCCTGCCATCCCTGCCATCCCTGCCATCCCTGCCATCCCGCATCCATCCCACACCTTCCCTGCATCCATCCCGCACCCCCCCCCGCACGTACCTTCCATCCATCCCACACCCGCCCCGCACCCCCGCATCCCGTTCGCGTCCCGCCGCTCTCCCCGACGTTTTTTTTGCGCTGTGCCACAATTGAAATGCAGAGCTAAGCTCCCGGCCTGCCCGCCCCGTGGCGCGGCTGCGCTGCCGCAGGGCCGCGGGGATGGGGGGGGAGCGGAGCCGCGGAACGGGACGTGAGCTGTGCTCTGCTCTGCTCTGCTCCGGGAGTCCCCAATTCTGAGATCCTTCTGCTGCTCCCCCGAGTTCCTGCGGTCCCCGGTCCTGGTCTCTGCCACCTTCTGGGGTCTCGCTGAGTGAGGGATCCCTCCTGCTGGGATCCTGAGGTGTCGGCTGTCCTCTCCCCTCTCCCAGCACCTGAGGTCCCCGATTCTGGGGTCTCCGATCCTGAAGTCTCTATGCTCCTGGGATCCCTCCAGTCCTGGGGGTCCCCTCCTGACTGTGGGATTCTCCAGACTCCTGGGTTTCCCTGTGTTCCTGGAGTCCCCCCCGGCTCCTGGAGTCCGTGCTGCTGCGGTCCCCCCGATCGTGGCATCCCTCCTCCTGGGGTGCTCTATCCTCCAATCCTGAGGACCTCCCAATCCCGGGGGTTCCCCCAGCTCTTGGGGTCTCTCCTCCCACGTTCCCCGCTCCTCCCCCAGCCGCAGGGTTTCCCCTTTCCCCCCATTTTGGCGTGGGCTCAGCGCTGTACCGCCAGCCTCCAAATCCCGTCGCCCGGAGGATGCCGGTTGACAGATACCGCGGCACGGCGGCGGTTCCCACCCCGGGCTGGCACGCGTGGCACCACGTCTGGCACGGGGTTGACCTGGATTCGCCGCCGCGGTTGCGAGCGAAAGTCCTTGTCTCACTACAGCGAGGAGACGCCGAGCTCCCCCCGATGCTGTTTGAGCCCCACGTCGGGCATCCCGGGGCCGCGGTGCCCACAGGGCTGTCCCCATCTCGCACCGTGTGCCAGCGGCACGGCGGCACCGCAGTGCGTGGCTCAGCGCCGTGCATGACTCAGCTCCGCTCCCCCCGCGCCAGCAGCTCCGGGCCGGGGGGACCCAGAGGGTTGGCTGCACCCCGGCTGATGGGGAGGAGACGGCTCTGCTCCCCCTCCCCTCTCCTCCCCCCTCCTATCCAGAGCGTGGCTCGCAGCTGGCTCCTAAGCCGTGATCTCTGATGTGCGCCGCAGAGTGAAAGCGGATTAATGCCTATGGATGGGGGCTTGGGGGCTGCGGGGGGAGGAAGGGACCCCCGCGACACCCCCAGTGCAGTAGGGTCGCTTCCCAACGCCTTTGGCCACAACCGGCGGGTTGATTGCTGTGTGCCCAATCCCCAGCATTGGGTGTGGGGTGAAAGTGCAGCACCGTGGCCTTTCCCCCCCCCCCAGCCCGAGCGCTGTGCCCTGGGGCTGGGGGCTGCGCCCTGCCCCGCATCCCCTCGCCATCTGGGCACGGGATCTCTTGGCAGATGTTGCCCCTGTAAGCCCTGCTCCAGTGTACCCTGGGCAGATTAGGATGCAATCGAGGGCTGGGCTGGGCCGGGAGGGCTGTAAGCTGCTTAAGGGGTTGGTGGCACACCCACAGCCCCCCAGCACCATGTCTGTGGTTGGGGCATCGTGATGGTACCCGGCTGCATAATGCATCTTCTGCCCCACAGCCGTGCCCCGTGGGTGGGACATCCCAATGGGGAGGGTCACATCCTGCTCCCCCTCCCCCACAGCCATGCCCCCCCCCCCAGAGGGGTTCCCAGTGGCACCGGGCTGCATCCTGCCCCACAGCCATGGCCCCCAGAGGGGAGGGTCTCAGTGGCACTGGGCTGCATCCTGCCGCATAGCTGCACCCACAGAAGACAGAGGTCCCAATGGCACCAGCTCAGTACTCAGCAGGGAGGGTAACATCCTGCCCCAGAGAGAGGGATCTCCATGGGAAGGACCGCATCTTGCCCCACAGCCGTGCCCCGCAGAGCAGGGTTCCTGATGGGAAAGGCTGCTTCCTGCCCCACAGCCGTGCCCTACGGAAGGCTGGGGGGATCCCACATGACAGCCCATCTCTCTGCAGCTGGGGCATGGCCGTCAATGTGTACTCCACCTCAGTGACCAGCGAGAACCTGAGCCGCCATGACATGCTGGCCTGGGTCAACGACTCCCTGCAGCTCAACTACACCAAGATCGAGCAGCTCTGCTCAGGTGGGGATGTGCCACCACCCCTTGGTGTCCCCCTGGGGGTGTCACAGCCACCTGACATGTTTCCCTCCTGTCCCCTCCCAGGGGCTGCCTACTGCCAGTTCATGGACATGCTGTTTCCCGGCTGCGTGCACCTGCGGAAGGTGAAGTTCCAGGCCAAACTGGAGCACGAGTACATCCACAACTTCAAAGTGTTGCAGGCCGCCTTCAAGAAGATGGGAGTGGATAAGGTAGGTCCTGGGGTGAGGTGGGGCACACCGGGGAGTCCTGGGTGGGGAGAGCGGCCCCCAGCCCGTATGTCCCCACAGATCATCGCAGTGGAGAGGCTGGTGAAGGGAAAGTTCCAGGACAACTTTGAGTTCATCCAATGGTTCAAGAAGTTCTTCGATGCCAACTACGACGGGAAGGAATACAACCCACTGCTGGCACGGCAGGGCCAGGACGTGGCGCCTGCCCCTAACCCAGGTGATCACAGCTTCAACAAACCCAAGAAACTCATTGGCACTGCAGGTAATGCCCTGGACCCCCGCCTCCTGCACCCCACATTGCTCTCACTGCGCTCAGTGTGCACCCCCGGCGTGCCCCCACCCTGCCCTGCCTGCGCTCTGCTGCCTGCAGCCATCGGGGACAGGCAGGGGACACCGCGGTAGGACGGGGACGGTGCCACAACCCAGGGCTGTGCTGTAACCCAGGGGCGGTGCCACAACTTAAGGACAGTGCCACGACCCGGGAACGGTGCCTTGACCCCGTGGATGAGTGCCTGCTGGCTGCCTGCATGGCAAAGCCCCCCCTCGGTCACAAGCACCACCTGCACAGGGGCTGCAAGGGGCGCAGGGAGGGCTCTGCTTGGGGAAACTGAGGCACGGGGGCAGCTCAGCCCCTCAGCCTGCTGCCACCGGGTAGGGGCTACCCGGTATTAATGCTGCTCTCCGGCCCCCCCAAGTCCCACAGAGGACCTCCCCCACGGGCCCCAAGAACACGCAGCACCCGGCACGCCTGGGCAACGTCCCCACTGGCATCCTGCGGAAAAACTCACCTGCCACCCGCAACGGGGGCCCCGAGGCTGACGCACAGATCTTGGAGCTCAACCAGCAGGTACACTGGGGACACGGGGAGCACGGAATGAGGGGAAACCCCCAGTCAGTGCTAACGTCCCCATCCGCCTGCAGCTGATGGATCTGAAGCTGACGGTGGACGGCTTGGAGAAGGAGCGGGATTTCTACTTCAGCAAACTGCGGGACATCGAACTCATCTGCCAGGAGCACGAGAACGAGAACAGCCCCATCATCAGCGGCATCGTCAGCGTGCTCTACGCCACCGAGGTGCGTGCCCTGCTCCGCAGCCCCGGGGCCGGGCTCTCTGTTCATCGAGTCCCGGTGCTGACGATGCCGTGTCCCCTGCAGGAGGGCTTTGCCCCGCCGGAGGACGACGAGCTGGAGGAGCAGCAAACGGAGGAGCAGGACGAGTACTGACCCACCGCGCCCCACCCCACGTCCGACCCCTCCATAGACATTGAGGCCCGAGTCCCCGCACCCCACCGCCATCGCAGCTCCGTGGGACGATGCCGATGTCCACAATAAACCAAACACCGCACAGCGGAGCGGGGCCGTGCGTCTGCCGGGGGGGACGCGCCCCAGCCCCACCCTCGCCCCTTTCACCCCATATTTATTTCAGTTCCTCTCCGCCCCCACTGTGCCATGGCTTTGGGACAGGGTGGGGGGCAGCCCCGGTGCCTCCACCCTGAGTCGGGGGGTCCGCGCCGGGCCCGCAGCCCTGAAAGGAGGAGGAAAAGGAGGAGGAGGAGGAGGAGAAGGAAGGCCCGGCCCGGTGGGGGCAGCGCGGGTCCGGGCGCTGTGGGGGGGTGGGGGGGTACCGAGAGCGGCCCGGCCCGGCCTTCCCCCTCGCTGCATCGCTTTCAGCGCCGTCACCGCGGTTGCACAGCGCGCATCTGTGTCCGGTTTTATTTAAAATAAACTTCGCGTGGTACAACGCCGTGCGCCCGCATAACGCCGCGCTACCAGCGTCCCGCAGCACCGCCTACTGCGGGAGACAGGGCGGAAGTGGGGCACAGCGGAAGTAGCCGAGGCGGAAGAGGGGCAAGGCTACGCAGAGCGGAGACTGTGCGCGGGAAATGGTCGTTAGTGGGTGGGAATATGTAAATAAACCCGCGCGCGGCATGACGGGAGCGCAACAAACCGGGAAACGCAACGCGCGTGAAGCCGCGTAGAATCTGCGTGGGCCGCGGCGCGGGGCTTGGAGAGGGGCATCGATTTGGGTGGGTGCCGCGTGGGGAGAGTGGCTG